TGTAGCCATGGATACCAGAATACTACCTGTACAAGATCTAGTTAAGTATATGTACAGTTCTGTAAACTAATAAAATTTGTTATTTGTAAACTTAAGTACTATTTTTATCAATCTGTTTATAATCCATGTACATCACAAGTGACTGGCTTCTCATATAAAACATAAGTTTCAAAACTAGGGATATAACAGAAATTTATTCTGCGTGCTTGAAAGATTACTCTAGCTATGTGACTTTGAACAATACTGGATGAAAAAAATATCAAAATGGTTTACAAATTATGTAAGTGCACCTAGTAGGCTATACTTCATTAGTTCCAGATTTACATTTGTAATATCGTGAGAAGTTATATAGTGACTTTATTTTAGGTCTATGTAAGGCGGTAATTAATTCTTTATGTTATTGTCATTAAGTGGGTAATGAGTCACAAAACAAATAATCAAAACATTTCAGAGGTGGGGGCGCCCAAAGTGTCTTTGCCCCCGGGTGTTGAGAACCCTTGCTGCGCCACTTCTAATATATGTATATATTTTAGAATCGTTTAATGATTAACAGTATCATATAATTACTCTAGAAAAAAAGCGTTAACTTTTCTTTTAGTCTAAAATTTGAACACAATGTATATAACAGAAAGGCACAAAAATACGCAGTTCATTTACTATTTGTGGTTTGTTTGTTAGGAATTTCGCGCGAAGCTACACAAGAGCTATCTGCACTAGCCGTCCCTAATTTAGCAGCAGTGAAGGTAGCTAGTCATCACCACCCACCGCCAACTCTTGAGCCACTCTTTTACCAACGAATTGTGGGATTGACCGCCACATTATAACGACCCCATGGCTGAAATGACGAGCATGTCTGGTGCGACGGGGATTCGATCCCGCGATCCTCAGATTGCGAGTCGAGCGCCCTAACCACCTGGCTATGCCGGGGTCTACTATTTGTGGACGTTGTTTAACCAAAATTGCGTCTCTTTGAGTTATATCGCTTATTAGTCAGTAATGAATATTCTAGGACTAAAATCCTTTCGAAAAATTACAACCTTACAATGATTAATTTCTGGGATTTTTTTTCGTAGGACAAGAAGACTAGCCAGTGTTTTTAAATGAGTGTAAAAGTTAATTCAGTAAAAATAAATAAATAATAATGATAATAAATAAAAAGATTGTATTAAAAATAAATTAAAACTATAATTTGTTATTAATTCTTACTTTAGTACTGCTTTGTAACTGACTTAATGTGTCCCAGACTTCCTTAGCTTTGGTATTGAGCGAACAGCCCGCCTTATACGCTCTGGTATTGAGCGAAAGGCCTCGCCATTTTTTGTTATGACAGATACAGCGTGGTTGAAATATCATTAAATATTCTTGTTTGCTCTTATCCACATTTCTTAGAATTACAAAAAAAAATTCAAATTTTAATGAATGTTTTTGCGATGATTACATAGAAATATTTTAACTATTTCGTTCATATTTAAGAGACAAGTAAAAATAAATCTTATTTTTTTCTTAAATAGCTTCAAAAATGATCAAATCAGCTGCTATCAGTCTGTAGTTATCGGACTTGCTTCAGGTGGTTCGTAATTAAAAAAAAGCTTAAGTGGTCCGCAGAAAAAAAAATTACAAACCACTGTATTAGGTAATGTATAACTTCTAGACTGTATTATGTGATTAATAGATGAATTATTTCTCATTTAGGTCAGGTGTGGCCTAGATATTAGCGTGCCGAGCTGCAAGTCATAAGGTTTAAGATTCAGACTCCAATACCACTAAATATGCTTTGTATTTTCAGCTGTGGATGCGTTATAAAAACGACAGGCAGTGCCGTAATTCGATTCCAGAAGCCGAACATTTTTTTTATGGCGGCATGTGCTACTGATTGCCTGTCCTTCCTCTGATGAGTAGTTCAAAGTTAAGGATGCCTGAACCCATGTATTTATAAGTTTCCAGTTAAAATACCAATACCAACGTCTGTTTTTCTCTTACTATATCATAACATATAAAAAAACTTTACGTTATATCGATCCTTGTCAGTTTCCTAGAAGAAAGGAAACTATATGGTATGTGATGTGCAATTTATTAGCAACAACTATTAAGTATTGGTTAAAAAAATAATTGGAACGGAAGTTGTTGTCGTTTAGTCTAATTGATTATGCATACCGGAATTAGTATCACTTCTTGGTCAGCTAAAATTTGTCATAAAGAATAAAGCTTGATAAAGAAAAACGAAATGTTTAGCTTTTCTTTTAATCCAAGAACAAAAGGAAGGCATATACTTGAATAAGGAAGCACACTGTACTAATATAATAATAGATAGACGAACAATGATTTATAAGCATAATGAAGAAATTTATTGATGGTAGAACGTTCTAGATGTTTCGACAGAACATTGGTTTGTTTTTTTCAGGTATGATCAGGAACAAAAACAAGGCATATACAGTATTACATGTGAAAGTAGAATGAAATACGAATGACAAACGCCACTTTTCTAAGAAATAAGACACAAAGAACACTAAGGTCACATGTGTATAGATGATTTCCAGATATCTGCTTTTACATAGCATCAATATTAAACAGTGCACACAATACTTAGGGATACAATTCTTCTCTTATACCAAGCCAAAAAAAAAACAAAAAAAAACGTGATACACGTACTAATGGCCTTTGCACCATCAGCCATATTTGGCAAGGTCTATTCGCCGTTCATACACTTAACCTCTACCTATAGCCCTGTCACCCGCTGATATCATTTCCATGACATTTAATATCCGTGTCTTTTACTTTTGTAACGATATTTAAACCTTGTATTGTTCAGTAATGATCATATCTGAAGAAGGCAGAACAATGTTAACATATAGTATGTTCCACCATGAATAAAATGATCCCGTATGCTTATAAATCGTTCTTTGCCTACCTATTATTAACAAAGAATGTAGTGATTCATCGTTAATTATTTGTATATGTTACGTGACGTAACAGCGTATTCTAAGGATTATTGTTGCATAAGTTATATGGCTTACTTTCGTTCACTTTTTCTTAAAGTCGAGTATGTAGTTTTACATGAATACAACAATTTACTGTAGTTCTGGCGTATTTTGCTCAAAAGCTTCCTTTGTTCTTTATTTCCATTACTTAGAAGTTCATCTTCAGAGCTTAATAATGTCAACTTCACACACAATATTCTCAGTGAACAATGAAGCACCTACAATGAGTAGACTTAAAAATAGCTTCTGTTTGCACCTGATCCACGAAAGCAGCTGTGG